ATGCTGGTGTTTAACGACATGATGCTCGTCGCGACGGACTTGTCGGGAAAGACCGGGCTATTCTCCGGTAAGAGGAGAACCGAGCAGAAGTTGAGAGTCCTCCGAGCAGAGGAAGGAGGGATTGGCAAGGTTGCCGAAGTGAAAGATTGGGGTGAATGGCAGGGTGAGTGCACGTCGGTTGCATCGGTCTGTCATCAGTGCCAAGTCCAGGTTGTCCTTCCTCGTTCAGTGTGACAATCCTGCCATGGGATCCATCAGCAGTCTCCGAGCCCATCACAGCTGCGTTCACGTTGCCTTTGACAAGCTCCTCTCGTCCGAGCAAGTCGGTCAGTACGAGCTGCCCACGATTGACCTCTGTGTCACAGTTCCTGCGGGTTCTAGGTCAGACAACCACCCTTCTGGGGTATGCGGCGGATGTGCACAGAGGGAACGAGCGGACAGAAATGTTGCAATCTACTGACCGATTAGTCAGATAGGCACGAGTGTGACTGTTGGTAAGACCTTTGAATACGGAGTACGGGGGTGGGATGACCAAGGAGGAGATGACGCATGTATGCCGATAATCCCGGATAAAAGGCGGCGATTGCGAGATACTCACCCAAAAGGAACAAGACTGACAACTCCCCACCCGCCCCGCTTGCCTGCTCACTCACCATCGATCCACGTTAGATAGATTACATGGCCCTTCGCCGCTTGGTAACTCTTCAATCGCATTTACTGCCCTCTCGTTCTCTTGCGATCACCGCGCCTTTGGCTACTAGACCTCTTACAGCTTTCAAACTGGGTTCCGCATTCTCCACCGCTCCTCCCGCCGATATGAGTGAGATCAAGCAGCTTGTCGACTCGACCATCGCCGAGAACAACGTCGTTGTCTTCAGCAAGACCTACTGCCCTGTGAGTGCTTGTCTGCGGGGGGTACACATCGCGCAAACGCAAACGGTTGTGCGATGTGGCTTTGCATGGTGGGAGAGACAATCGACAGAGCTGACGAAAAGTACTGCAAGAAGGCCAAGACCATCTTGCAAAACATCACCGACGACGTCAAGGTCCTGGAGTGAGTACTCTCTGTACAGTCTCTTCCCTGTGGCATGCGCTGACGACAGGCTTGACAACCTCGACGAGGGCTGTGAGTGTAAAAGTCACCTGGTGGAGAGCCAACACTGACCGCCAGCTACCATCCAAGCCTACCTCAAGCAGCTCAACGGACAGGGAACCGTGCCCCACGTTTACATCCGACAAGAGTTCATTGGAGGATGCTCCGACTTGCAGCAGATCCCCGCGGACAAGCTCAAGAAGATGATTGCTGGCACCGCCTAGAGGGGAAGCGAGCGGATGTCCGTTCTACACCATGAATAGTCGAGTGTTCTTGATGCATCGAGTATATTGTTGTTTCTCCGGCCCTAGACCTGCATGGCTCCTTGCTGCAGGCACATCTCAGGACCTGTTATTGTCCGTTCTGAAACCCGTTGGTGCAGGCTGTGATTTAGGGGTGATCAGCAAGATCCATGTCAATCGGCCCCCCCCCCCCCCTCCCCCGCTTTCGGTTCCGAACTCCGGATGAGCCGCGGCGCTTCACCTTTGAGTGTGACCAGTGAACTTGACACTTTGGACACTCGATATCCACTACAAAAGACACGTTCACATCCCACAGTCACCATCAGTAGCAGAGCGGGTACCACTCTTATTGTGTCGACGGACGATCACTTCCTCTGGGTGTTGTCATCCTCTCAACAAAGGGACACACGCGCCGATCCTTCCAGTCGCCCTCCCACTCGCGGTCATTAATTCACCTCATGCCAGTATCATCACCCGCTCGGTAGCATCGCCCTTGACCGACACTGGCATCCAACATAGTCTTGAGCTATACTTCTGCTCCCGACCACGCTCTACACCATGCCATTACCCGACGGGCCCATAAAGGTGCTTCAGCCAGAGAGCGGTAATTCTCGACTCGCCTACCTGGTCCGCTTTCCAGAAGACGTCTGGACGCAACTGGAGGAATCCGCCCAGGCAGGCGGCACGATCAGGTTGAACCTGGATGATGGAATGGTATGTCGAGCAAAGCTCCGGCTCGGTCCATCTCACTGATATTGCAGCATCTCGAGCTCCCAGCAGGCGCCCCCGTCTCGCTTCGTGTCCAGCCTTGCGGTACTGCATCCGAGATTTACAAGTTTCACCATGACACCCTCACCCCCCACGCGCTCGCCGCATCTCGTCTCGCGATCCCCATCTCTACCGTCAGCACCCATCGCGCCGCCGACAAGCTCAAGGCGCAGAACGATGCGCATGATAGAGAGCGTAAAGACCGCGCCGACAGGTTGAACGGGATAAAGAAAGCGATTCCCCCTTCTCTAGATCATATTGGGACTACCATGAACCGGACAATGAGCAGCCCTGCTGTCCCCGCTCCCTCGTCCGGGTCCAACACGCCCATGGTCCCCCTCAAGACAAGAGTCGTGCAGCTGCTCGCCTTGGGTCCGTTGAGCGTGGATGAAATTGTCAGCAAAGTGGGCATGTCGGAGGGCGAAGTCGTTCGTGTAGTGAAAGGAGTGAGTAGACTCGTACATGGCGCAAGACACGCTGACGATCCAGGTCGGGAGGGAGACGCCAGAAGGCTACGGACTGCATCCGGCAAAGTACTCTGGTGTCAAGATCGCGACATGGAACTATACGTATGCCGAGAAGCAACGGGTGATCAAGCTCGCCAAGCAGGCCTTTGACGAACTGGGCTATCCGGAGGATGCAGACGAGCGAGCGGATCTCGACAGGAAGGAAGCCGAGGTCCTGAGCGGGGCGAGCAGTTCGTCTGATCACGTCCAGACCCCACCTCCCGCACCGATGTCCGCTCCCCCACCGTCAGCACCCACTCCATCACAGACCCCCGAGACCGCGACCGCGCCCAGCCTGCCTAAGAAAGAAAAGTCGACCAAAAAGGGGGCCGCATTGGGCTTGATAGGGAAACAGAGAGCCAAGTTCCAGGCGGAGAAAAGGGCGGCTTCTTTGCCAAACGTGAAAAAGCCGGACGGAACGGCGAGCCCTCGACCAGACACTGGTGTGCCGACTCATCCACGCGCCTCGCCCGTGTCGACCGTGAGCTCGAAGGAGTCTGCGACAACGGCTAAACGCAAGAGAGAGGACGATCTCCCTCCAGCTATTAAAAGACCGGCGTCACCGAAAAGAGCCAGCCCGCCGAAGCGACCGACTTCACCCGTCCCTTCACAAAGCAGCGAGGAGTCCCGCGGGCGGTCCAAGACGGCAAAGTCAAGCTCAAAGCTCGGTGATGCGGTTACAAAGAAAAAGTCGCGAGCATCTCGCGATTACTCCAGCTCAGAAGGGAGCGATGACGAACTTCCGAAACGATCCAAGGCACCACTGCCGAAGATCACGCGCAAAGTCCCCCCGCCCAAGCTGCATCTGAACGGTAACCGCGACGAGCCGCCAGATCCGGAAGCTCTCAGGGAACGATACGACGAGCTGTTTCCTGCGTACCAGCTTCTCAGTCGCAAACTCGTCGAACTCCATCGCGAGGCGGAAGGAGAGGAAGAAGGGGAGGTTGTCGAGATTGACGCGAAAGAACTGGAGAAGATGGTGGCTAGATGGGAAAAATGGCACAAGGAGCTCGAAGGGATCCGGCGGTTCTTCACGACGTAATTAGATGCGATCTCTGGGGGGTCAGCGGTGTATATATCTAGATTTGTATGGATATGTTGTTTATGCACAAAGTCTTTCGCTATCCCGCTGTGAGAGCGCACAGAGAATGGACGCCTTGTACAGGTTCGCACCTTCCTGTACGTCGTCGCTGACGATGCATCTCGTCAGACCGCAACACGGCACCCAGCCCGCTGTGTTCCAGCTATCAAGATGCGTGCGTGCCGGGCCAGCCTTGACGAAGTGGAGAGCTCCGGTGGACAACAGCCCAGAACTGAGTCCGCAGTAGTTCCGACACTGAAGAGAAATCTAGGAACGAACATGTCTGCCAACTGTCACAGTCGCCCCCTCGAGCGAGACGGTAGACGTAGAATTCTGTCTCACAATATCTGAAGGAGGGAGAAGCAGGCCTCCGACGTAAGTACAATCGCATACACACCTACATTCGAGCATGCCCGCATTCCAGGATCTTCCAGCCGTGATAAACGCGGAAGTTTAAAGGGAGACAAAGAAGAAGACTGAGCCATGATGTCGCCACAGAATGGACGACATAGGAGGTATCTGCGGAGCAGTGTATATAATACCCTGCAACTCACCCAAACATCAAATAGTCTGGGAGAGATGTCCGAGTCAGGTTATGGAGCTACGTTAAGGAGATTCATCTCTTTGAATACCGTAGTGGTTCGCCGCCAGGGTTCGAATCCCTGTCTCTTCAAAACCCAGTGGTTTCATTTTTGCTTTTTCCCTCGGCCCTAAAGCTCAAGCAGTTGACCGTCCTTTTTTGGCGAATGCTCGGAGCATACGAGACTTGCGTGTTCGACTTCACGGACTGGTCACATTGTTCACCTGCACTGAAAGCCGACAGGCTCAACAAGTGGCTGGGGTCTTTCAAAGAAGAATGATAGCCTGCTCGCGAGAGAGGGAACGTGCCGGAGAACTCCAGAGTCGATCGTGCGTGGTTTCCCAATCCACAATTGGATGAGAGACCCAGCCCAGCACCCCCGAATGTACCTATTTAGAACGTATAGTCACCTCCTCGGACCATAACATCATTCCCGGAAGAGACCTTGGTCGATGGCAGTCTGGTGGCACTGGCATATTCCTCGAGGCGGGCTCGTAACCCCTGCTGACGATGGCAACGCGGCAGCCCAGCACGGGCGGAAGCTAGGAGGCTTGTCGGACACCCGATCGCCCTCTTTCCTCCATGCTTGGATGCATGAGTGTAAGAGCGTCAGGGTTCCGACCATCATCGGCATTCAAGAAGGGCTGGTTCTGGATTCGGTTGCGGTAGGACAACTTCCCAGTCAGGTATATAACAGTTTTGGAATCTCGGAAACAAAAGCACCTGTTTGGGAGAGATGTCCGAGTCAGGTTATGGAGCTACGTTAAGGAGATTCGTCTCTTGAATACCGTAGTGGTTCGCCGCCAGGGTTCGAATCCCTGTCTCTTCAGCCCAAAGGTGTTGTTTACCTTTTTGTTTTTGTTCGTCCTCAGCACCATATCTGGCTTTTGCTTTTGCAGGCATGCTCTGCGCTTGATTTCATGGAGGAATAAGGACAATCAAGTCACATGGTCATCATTCGTCGACAGTCAGGTCGATCTGGGGAGTCCGAAATCACCTTCCTCTACCTAGCCAGCTGCCCTTGCGCTGTAACAGCGGTCCATGGTCTAGATCACAAGGTGCATGGAGGATTCACTAGCTATAAAAAGGTCTATGCGTTCATAGCCGCCTCCTCCTGATCGACAGCCGCTTCCTCGCCGGTGGCCACGGCCCCAGCCTCGCTCTCTCCGACAACGACAGCCGCGGCCTTGCCCTCAGTCTTTCCACCCTTGGGGGGGTTGACAGGCGACAAGTCTTCTCCGAAAACTCGCTGAGACAGAGTTCTGCATGTTCAGCACTAAGGTCAAACTGGCCAGGGAAATACGTACGCTTTCTCCTTTTTGTCGATGAGGAGAGAGACTGAGGTGTTCGCTTTCCAAACAGGAAGGATCAAGGGCAAAGGCAAGCTTTTGTGAGCTCGACCCCTTGTGCAGATACACTTTGAAATCGACTCACCTTCCACCGGCCATCTCTCCGGGCTGGAAGCGGACAATGGCGTTACCCAAGCCAAGCTTCTGCATCCAAGTCTGCACTTCAGGGGCGAATCGCTCAATCTAACGGTCAGCATACGCTCTCAGGTCGTAGAGTTCAACTCACAGGAGGGTACATCTCGGACAAGAAGATTCGGAGCTCTTCGATCGTAGCGTTGATAATGACATCCTCCGGCAAGTGCGAGACAATTTCAATCATGCCCTCGCCTGGGACACGCCACTTGCAAGTGATGTCGCCCCGCTTGGACGAATCCTGTCGCACAAACGCCTTGACACCGGCGGAGATGATTCTCATTCGGGTAAAGTCGTTGTTTTGCAGCACCGCCTGACTGTCAGCAAGGCACCCCCATCATTGACACTGAACCAACCTTGACGGTGTCGTTGACGACGTAAAGCGTGCGAAGCGGCGAGCCAGTGTCGTTTCGGACCATGAGCTTGTCTCGCGCGAATCTAGAGTCGAGCTTGAACCAATCGCTATTGATCAGCCTCGATACTCAAGCTACAAGTGATTACTCACACGATGCTCTGAACCTCCTCGTGATTCGGGTCGACAAACGAATACGGGTCCTCCTTGAAGCTAGCATCCTTTCTAACCTTCTTGGGCGTCCTGCTGGGGCCGGCCTTCTTCTCAGGCGCCGCCTCGGTCTTTGCGCTCTCCTCCGCAGGCTCTGCTTCGCCTTCAGCCTTGACCCGCTTGGCTTCCGACTCGGCACCCTCAATACCAGACGGGGACGCGCTTCGTTTCAATGTGGAGGCGCCCTTCTCGTCGGCCATGATGACATCGTCGAGCGCAGGGACAGGGGGCAATTCGGCGACGGCCTCCCCCTCGGGGGCATCGACCAGCTTTTCCAAAACACACACGAAGAAGCCTCCGGTGTCTTGATCGTGAGGAACCAATCGCATGCTGTTTGTCAGCCCAACATTCATCCACAGACGACGTACCATCGCTCGAGGTTCAACTCGTTTGCGTTGGCAGGAGGCCACAAGGACGCGGGCAGAGGTCGCTTCTTGTCCTTGTCGTTCTGCTCCGCCTCGGTCAAGGCCTCCTCAATCTTCTTCTCATACTCCTCGAAAGTGTCGTGCCAGATGAGAGGCTTGTCGGCGTCTTGCGAAGCCGGCGCCTGGGTGGCCACCTTCCAGCTAGTCAAACCGGGTCGTCGCTTCAACTCGGGCAAGTGGTCAGAAACATCGACAAGCTTCAATTGACCTGCGAGGTAAGTCAAAATCCGAATCTTGCAACGCGACATGACTGACCAGGGTACAAGTTGAGGGCCGCGGCCACAACAGACTCGTTCTCAGCCGGGTTGAAAGAGCATGTCGAGTAGACGATGCGTCCACCGGGCTTCAGGAGTTTCAATCCTCGGTCGAGGATTCGCAATTGCAGCCTACTGGTCAGCCCGAGCCCAGTAGGCTGACAGGGTGCACTCACGCGTGCAAACTGTTACCATCGTTGGCCCCCCACTTTCTCCAGATCTCCATGTTCTTTCTCAGAGTACCATCTCCACTGCACCTGTAGAGAGTTAGTATTGGGTGATTTGGACATCAGTAGCTTACGGAACATCTGCCAAGATTCTGTCGAACTGCATCTTCTTTCCCCCTCCAAGGTCAATGTTGGGAATGTAAGCTATCATCAGCGATCGTACGGCATGCGGGAACCGATACATACCAGCATCGAGGTTGGTGATCATCAATCCCCTGCTTGGCATTCGTCCGGTCTGGTGGACCAGCATATGCGTTCGCTTGTAGTCCGAGTCGTTGGCGATCAGGAAACCGGTAGATCGCTCGTCATGAGGGTTGAGGGCCTCAATGATCTGGGCGGTCTGCCTGTTAGCGTCGATCTCGGTCCTGGACGGCAGAATTACCTTGGATCCGGGAGCGGCGCACATGTCGAGACACTACGGTTAGTATGATGGACTAGGATTCACACAGTACACACGTTGTGGTGCGATTGCACGTCCAAGAAAAGGGGCGGGATCATAGAGACGGCCTCTTGACGGCTCAGATTTCCCTGTTGATCAATACAGTGCTTTACGGTGCGACGAGAGGAACCTACGACCTCGGTCTCGCCAACCAAGAACTTCTGGAAGTGCTTGTACGGTTGAGTCTTCCTCACAACTCGCTTTGGGGTCGACAGTTGCCAAGCAAGCTTTCCTGGGTACCAAGGTATTTGCTGAGGCGCGGCGTAAGTCACGCCGTCCCACTCGACGTTCTGCAAAGTCGGGAGGTAAGTCGTTTTGATGAGATCGTTGATCGTCTCAGCGTGACTAGCGAGTGAGCGCGCGTACAGAATAAACCGAACAACTCACGCTCGGGATCCTGTCACTCGGAAAGTCGTAGGGAGCTCCTGGGCAAGCGACTGCAGCATCTGCGGCATCTCCTCGGCGGGAAGGATAGCTTGTTTCTGTCGTCTCAGCTGTTGACCGGGCTTGGAGATGAGCGCTCAACGAACTGTGTAGTACTCCTCGAACAAGGCGTTTTGCTTGCTCAAAGGGTCAGAGGGCTGCCATTCGTCCTTGGCGGGTGTCCTCGTACCCTCCCTTGATCCCTTGTTGCTCTTAGGCGGGTACTAGCATGTCAATGTGGAATGACAGATGCCGGATCGCAAAGGACACATACCAATCCCCGCTTTCCACCTCTATGCCTTCCCATGTGTAACAATAGACCGGTTGCGTCGGTGATATATGTCCTTTTGGTCAGCCTCGTGCAAGAGGCGAAGACGTTTATGGTTGGTAGAGGTATTGTTATGGAATCGACAGTTCAAGAGGGACCCGGGGGGAAAAGTTGGGAGGAAATCTCAGCGACCACGTGTAAATCACGTGGCACCAGCCGGAGACGCGTTTGACATCCTCGACATGACGGTTTGTTATGACTTTTGACAGCGACGTATTTTTCTTAGCCCTATACCTGGTCAAGCGCAGACAGGGAGCCACAAGCACGATAGATAACCAGCGAAGGACCTCTTAGGCCGATATTGAGGTCATTTTCCCTCATCGACGGGGCTGCGGTTAATGCCTTCCTATCGGCTTGGAGACGGGATGGCCGTAGGCGCAGGCATGCCGCCTGCCTCTCACGGTCGCGTCAAGGTCGAACCAAGGACGGCGTCCAACAGCTCTCGAGCGATCAACTCTAGGCAGAGTTCCCCGATCCTGCTCGAGTCTGATGAGGAAGAAGACCCTCCGTCCACTTCCCGCAACCGACCTTTGGCTCTGCAGGCCAAGACTCAGGGACCAGCGGCCACGACAAAGGACGACATTCGCATCAAGCTGTCAAAGCTCGACGCAGAGGCAAGTTCTCTTCTCGGAGCGCTCATATCATGGCGCTCATTTCCCAGATCAAGTCTGTGGAAGACCAACTTGCTCCGCTTCAAAGTCTCCATGCGTCCTTGAAAGCCGAACGGCGGCAACTTGAAGCCCAACTGTCACACTCTTCCCGGCTCCCTGCAGCATCTTCGTCTGGGCCTCTGTCTACTGGCAGAAACGCGGATAGCGGTATCGACTACCTCGCATCGTCCTTCCCTTGGTCCGATGCTGTCAAGTCGGCTCTCAAGACCACATTTGGCCTCACGTCATTCAGACTCTGCCAAGAGGGGGTGATCAATGCCGCTATGGACGGAAGGGACATTGTCTGCGTGATGCCAACCGGAGGAGGGAAAAGTTTGACCTATCAGCTCCCCGCCATCGCAGGGGCACGAGGTCTGACAGTTGGAATCAGCCCCTTGCTCGCTCTGATCTGGGATCAGGTCCGAGCATTGAAAGAGCTTGGGGTGGAATGCGCGGTATGTCGTACGAGTATATAGTGGTCTCCCGTACTGATTCGCTAGATGTTGACCGGAGCGACCTCGAAAGAGGAGCAGAATGCGATATACAAACGGATAGAAGAGAGCCCAGGCCGGGGGAGCAAAGAACTCAGAGTATGTCTTTCTGTGTTTCTGTCCGCATCGGAAGACTAACCTGCAGATGGTGTACCTCACAGTGAGTCCGGCCATGGCTGTGTCGCACCCATGCTGAAAAGTTTAGCCTGAGAAGGTGTCGAAGTCAAAACGTCTAATGTCGGTGCTGGAAAAGGCCAATGCGTCAGGTCGTCTCAGTAAGTGCTCGATATGATATTAGACCTGTGTACTCACGATCCAGAACGTTTCGTTATCGGTAATCTTGCAGCAAGCTCAATTGAGCGGAGCTGACTGCCAGACGAGGCGCATTGCTGCAGCCAACTCGGCCACGATTTCCGCCCCGATTACAAAAAGCTGTCCATGCTCAAAACGCTCTTTCCTCGCGTGCCGATCCAGGCAGTCGTGCGTGATATCTTCCTGCACGATGCCTGCGCTGACCGCAGACGGCTACTCTGAGCTCGAAGACTATGC